TTTTTCTAAAATAGGGAATTTGATTCCCTGCAAAGATGGAAGAAATTTTTGAAATTCGCCTAGTTCATTCCGCAAGACTTGGGCGTCCATGTGATGGATATCCCATCCCTTCAAATTCCTCTTTAGCAACAATTTCAAAAACAAACCCTCTGGCGGTGAATGCGGCAACTTCAAACAGACCACTGATGCTTGTTGTGTACATTGATTCTCGATCTTAGCAAATAGGGGTTTAAACATGGAAAGTTTCGAGATTTTGAAAAACACATTCTCTTTTTTGCACTACTAGGGGCATTTATATCATTACACTTGTTTGTTAACGTCGATTAATAGTTTGGGACCAAATTGATAATTTTCAAAAGTTTGGGTACTACAATGACACATTTTGAAGTTTGGATACTAACTTGACACAACCCCAAAGTTCAAGAGACTAAATTGGAATTAGAGAAAAATGGCACCGCGGTTCAACCAGAGGTCCAAGTAGAGCCACCAGGAAACGCCAGTGGTTGACTGCTATTTTGTTACAACTCATGTATCTGTCTTGGCGCTTGAGGTCGTCCAACTCAATCTCTGACGTTCATATCGTTTCGATTCCTCAATTGCCGACTCCAAGGTATTGTCCAGAGGTTACCGACTATCGTCTTCAGTTCTAATAGCTTYCGCTCTCTGTTGTGGTGGGGCTCTTCATCGACTCCTCCATCGACAAAGTAGTGGAGTAGGAGGTGACAAATTTTAAACAATGGTAGTTTGCTCTAGTCGTCTTCTTGTCCTCTCTCTCTCTCTCTCTCTTAAACAACGGTAGTTTTCTCCTGTTTCATCTTCCTCTTTTCCCTGTGAAACTACCGCTGTAACAGTAGCGATTCGACCGCCAAATCACCACCTCCTCTCTCTCCTCTCCACCATCCTTTCTCACTCATTCCTTTTCAACCAACACCCAACCATGTAAATAGACGAGCCGAGTCTTTCCTCTCTTTGTTGCCACTACAACTCTACCACCTCCTTTCCCCTCTTTGTTTCTCCTACTCCTTCCCGGTGAGAAATCACCAAAAAAATGAACTCATTGTTGTTGGGATTATGTCTTATTTTGCAACCACTAGATAATCTAATGGTTGGTGTGGTCTCTCATTAAGTTAAAGAGGTTTTGCATATAAAATCTTTCTTTTGTATGTAGGGTTAAGTTTTTTTGAAGAGGTGTGAGAGAAAAATACAAAGTTCTCTTGGTGTGAGAGTGGGTTTTTTCTCTTGTTTTTGTTCTTCGGGTTGATAGGAAAGGGAGAACGGGTGTACAAGGGTTAAGGTTTGGTTTGGGTTGCAAGCCACAAAGTACTTGTATTGTTTCTCAATTTTCTTTCATAGTGAAGAATAGGTTTTGTCTCTCTTGTGAACGTAAGTGGTAAGACCGAACCACGTAGACCTTTGTGTTCTTTGTAGTGCTTGTTTTTATTTGTCTTTGCTTGGATTTCATCATTTTTGTTGCTATTAGATTTCTCGTGGTTACTATTTCAAATACCTTGCGATTTTATACTATGGGTGGTTATTGTGAAGCCCCAACAAAGTGGTATCAGAGCTCCCAAGTTAGTGTTTATAAGGTGTTTGTACAATTGCTTGAGAGATAATGGCAACAAAAGGTACAGGTTCTCAGTTCCAGATTGAGATGTTTGATGGCAAAGGCAGTTTTACCCTATGGTAAATGATGGAGGATGATTTGGCCCGATCTATTGAGACGATGACACGTGGATTTGACTCAGCACGAGCAACAGCTTAGCGTCGTGGCCTGACCCCAGCTAAGTAATGAGYCTGTAGAGCAGCTCACTACGTCATAGCTCGCTATAGGGGGAGCTCGCTACAACGTGAGCTCCAGGTCCCCCRAGCTACTGAGAAGAAAGAAATACTCCAAGACTATTTCAACTCGCGAGCTAGGGAAACCAGTTCGCTCCAGCAATAACTGCCCCAAAGACCAACCTTGATGAGGGTTACCTTGAAATACTCCTAAGAGCTTGCTACAAAGTAGCTCGTTGCGCGACAGGGTAGCTCGCTACAAAGTAACCCGCGACTAAGCAACGCAACGCTCTCAAGAAGCTTCTATCTGACAAGACCATACTCGTCAAACTACACCACGTCTCTCAACTGATGGCACAGTCCCTGCCCATTTGATAGTCTGCACCCACGTCTTTCGACAGATGGTGGCGTGCCTATTCCTTTAAAACGTGTCACTCATCCAAGCGGGTAGTACATTGTAATGATCACCTGCGTAGCCCTGGCAGGTAACGACTGCGGTAGGAGCCCAGCGGCGGTTATGCCCGATTTGACAAGAACGCCCCTATAAAAGCCCTTTTTTCGAATCGGAGAACTCTCTCTCGAATTAGATCTGAACTTGAACTCTTATTTGCTCACGAGCTAATCTCGAGACATAGTGATCTAGTGCGACCTATACTCTTAGCCTTTACACTCTTTTCTTCCTCCCCAGCGTTCTAATTTAAGCTTCAGAGTATTCCCGCTGGGCAAATCCCCCGGGAATCCTTCATCTTCCTCTTCTCAGGTGTCGTTCATTGCCAATAAGGAGCCAATCAGCAGCCAGCTAGGAGTGCCCGGATTGCGCAGCATTGTTTGGCGCCGTCTGTGGGAACACACTACAAAAAGCTAAGTTCTCATCCTACAAAAGCTAAGTCCTCTTCTCCCAGAAAGCTAAGTCCTCACTTTTTAGAAATTGAACCTCTCGCTTTATAGTTTACATCTTTTATGAACTCAAAGACTATGTAGGGAGCCAGCAGACTAAGCAGCTCTACCAACTTTCAATTCAGATAAAACCTCATCAGTCCTCTCCACAAGGTCCCCTCTACAAAGATGAGCTCTTTATGGATTCCGCGGGAATTGGCGGCCAATAGACTACATAGGCACCCTTGCTAGTCGAGCCTTCCAAGGCTCCCGTGTGAGCTGGTGACCTAAAGTTAGTAGTGCTGCCCCCGATGGTCGAGCTCCTAGTAGCTTCTTGTAGGAGTGGGTGACCAGCATTACGAGGCTGATGYAGCGCAATCACGGGTAGCTCGGCACCTGGTCAACTTGGTACCTCACAGGCAAAGCCTACGGGCCACATTACTGCTTAAGACCCAGTCGCCTCTTCGACACGAGCAAAGTCAAAAAAGAGTGGACTATGAGTCGCTCCCAAAGCCTACGGGCCACATTACTACTTAAGACCCAGTCGCCTCTTCGGCACGGGCAAAGTAAAAAAGGAGTGGACTATGAGTCGCTCCCAAAACCTACGTGCCACATTACTACTTAAGACCCAGTCGCCTCTTCGGCACGGGCAAAGTCAAAAAGGAGTGGACTACGAGTCGCTCCCAAAGCCTACGGGCCGCATTACTGCTTAAGACCCAGTCGCCTCTTCGGCACGGGCAAAGTCAAANCTTAAGACCCAGTCGCCTCTTCGGCACGGGCAAAGTCAAAGAAGAGTGGACTATGAGTCGCTCCCAAAGCCTACGGGCCACATTACTGCTTAAGACCCAGTCACCTCTTCAGCATGGGCAAAGTCAAGAAGAGTGGACTACGAGTCGCTACGGGCCACATTATTGCTAAAAACCGAGTCGCTTCCTCAACATGGGCAAAATCAGCAAAAGTGAACTATAAGTTGCCCCCAGAGCCTAAGGGCTACAGTACTGAACTAGTGGAGACCTCCTCACCTTATGGGCAGCTCGCCACTTGCAGGCAGCTCCCAAAGCCTAAGGAATTGGATCAGCACTAGACCTGTTCATGGGCCGGGTGGCCCGACGGGCCGGGCCGGGCCCCGGATGGGCTTGAACGTGGTTATAGGCCCGCGGGCTTAAATTCGGGCCAAAAAGCCTGATCCGTAATGAATTCGAGCTAGGCTCGGGTTTTGTCAAAATATCCCCGCCCCACCTAATATTAGACTTAAAGTGAGTAATGTGATTATGTCCATTTGAATAAATTTTTTGATTTAAGAATGTAAAACTGTGTTTTAAAATATAAAAGAAAGGGGAAAAAACCATCTTGTAGGCCCATTGTTCATTTAAATAGGAAAAAAAAAACTATCTGAATTTTTAATTCTAGTTTGAATAGGGAAAATTGTTTTTTTTATTAGGTCGGGCTTCGGGCTTTTTATCAGGGCCGGGCACGGGCCCAAGTTATAGGCCCGTTGGTCGGGCCGGGCTCGGGCTCGGGCCTAGCATATTTCCCTTAATGACAAGTGAAAGCCCGGCCCGCCCCAGCCCATGAACAGGTCTAATCAGCACTTACTAGTTCGTCGACTTACGGGCCAAAAGAAGAAATCTACTCCCTTCACTGAGTTACTCTCAGCTCGGGAGTGGGGGGCAAATGATGAGGGTGGATTTGGCCCTCCAGTGAAATTGTGACACCTGGCACCTCATGCAAGCCAAGTGCAGCCTCTTGACAACTCGGCAGCTCGGGCAGCTCCGCATAGCTCCCCCCCCAGGCAGCTCGCCACTTGCAAGGTAGCTCGGTATAGAAGAGCAGTTCGGCATATCGCAGGAAGATCTCCTGTCTAACAACCATACCTGACAGATCTAGAGACCTACGCCCACGTCTCTCGCCAGGCGGCGCCGTGCATGCCAGCCCTGAGAGTTGTCCCTTGCCTGGTAGAGTCGTACTCTGCAATAGCTGCCTGCACCCACCACTTCAGCTCTGGTAGTAACGGCTGCGGCAGAGAGACAGAGGCGGTTATGCCTGACTTGACAGAGGTTGTTACGCCTGATTTGACAGGACACCACTATATAAGGACTTTGACCCCCAAAGACAAAGGGGAGAGAATGGAAAAATTGAGGTAATCCCTGCTCTCTAGCTCTCTCATTTCTCTCCAAG